ATAAGACTGCGGGTGGCGATGTTGCATCGTCTTAGGGCTCTCGTGACCATCGAATACCAAGCGATATCACTGGATAATGTACCAACGAAATAAAAAAAACCAATTCTAACTTCTAACTAAAATTTACGTGAGAATGGATTAGGTTCCGAAAGGTCAGGATTACTAATGATGGATTGATGATCTTGTGAAGATTTTTCTTGGTTATTTTATTAATTAAGCGTTTCGTTGTGTTTATTTTCGCAAGCATCCCACGTGCCCGCAATGGATGCATTACGAGATTTATTATTGTTGTGGCGGTAGCCATCACAGAACACAAGATATTTGAGAGATGCCTGAATCTCGCTTACGACATTTTCAAGATAAGCTTGCATATATACAAGTTCCGAACAACAACATTCGGACCGTCGGTCTACCGAGCAATATCACCAGCTCGGTGGAAGATCTTCCCTCTGTCGTATATTCCTACAACTGATGACGCCGACGTGATATTCCTACAATTGTATACGTTGAGATCCACTTATTTTATAAGTACATTGGGTTTTTGTGTTGCACTTTATTTGTACCGGGTGTGACGTTCCGCGTTCTTTTCCCATAGCTTTCGATACCTATATGGCATGTGTAAGCTGTGAAAGTTGACAACAGAGCGAAGTCCGAAAGGATTGGATAAAAAATTGGATGTACTAAGGATTGGTTGGGGAGTGGACTAAAGACTGCTTAACAAGTTTGTGTGCCAATTTTTACTGGTGGTAGGACCTCTTGTAAGTCCGCACGGGTGGGTACCACCACCCCGCCTATTTCTGCCGTGAAGCAGTAATGCGTTTCTGTTTGAAGGGTGGGGCGGCCGTTGTAACTATACTGAGATCTTAGAACTTGTATCTCAAGGTGGGCGGCGCATTTACGTTGTAGATGTCTATGGGCTCCAGTAACCACTTAATACCAGGTGGGCTGTGAGCAAGTCCACCCATCCAAGCCATAAAAAAAAATTGTGTGTCGATTTTTACATTGCGTATACAGATGTGTTGTTTTTCTAAGCCAACATAAAACATGCTAGCTACTTCGTCGAATATAATATCATTTTTTCAAATACTAATTTATTTTCGAATCGCCTCCCTATAAAGGAATAAAGTAATGTAATAAAAATACATATTAATTGCTAAAATTTATATTTATTTTATCGGTATACGTACCAGTTGCTTTTAAACCGTACGAGTAGTGTAAGCAGCGTATGTTAAAAACAACATACTATTTCATCACCATAGCCGGTATCTATCAATCGATTTTATATGAATATCGTATTCGCATTTTTATATATCGAACGACAAGTAGAATATAAGCATAAACACCGTAACAGCGTAAAGCAGACGAGGGATTTGACACTAGACTCTTTAGCTCTTTGATGTTCTTTAAATAGGACGGTGAGTGGCGATCTATGACCGGCAATTAGTGTCTCGCGTGTGACGTATGGGGGAGACATTTTCACGGATCGCTTAGTCCTGTGCGCAACTTTTTGTAATTAAAAATACTAGAGGCCCCGCAGTAGTCGAAATTCGACTATAATTAATTGGAATTGTAAGTTTGTATCCTATTATGATTGTATTTGATACTTCTATAATCACAAATTTCGCCAAGACTACACTATGAAATATATTAACAAAGACAAACAATATTTAATCTATTCTCAATTTGACAACAGATGTCAAGAACAAAAGTTTGACAATAAATAGTATGCATGCGTGTGTGCGTCGAATACATGGTATGTAGTGTGTGTAATGTTTTCTTTATTGATTTAATCTATCTTTTATGCATTATTTAAAAAAAATATTAGCATTGTGCACTTCTTCTCTATATTCTCTATAAGTGTGGAAAATTTCATAATCCTCCGTCCGCGCAATTTTCGTAAAAAGGGATACAATTTTTTTGCTTCAGGTATTAATATATAGATATATAATAAATTATTTACACACAAATTATGGGAAGTCACTAGAAACGCGTCCCCGATCAGAAGGAATTGATCGAATTGTACATCTAGTTTATTAAAACAGCTTAAAAACTGATTTAGATAATGATAAAGTAAATGACATTTGCTTAATTTTCATTAATTAAAACAAATGCACAAGGTTTTGTGTGAAATAAAATTTTATTTATATTTTGGCGATAAAATAGAATTTTTCAAGGCAATGGTGATCAGTCAGGTTTCAGACAAGCTTATTTACGATAAACAGATCGCAGGTCTGCAATAGGAAATGTACAAGAAGGAATCTCAACTTGATCTGTAAAAGTTATTTCTATTATTTTTTCTACTTCTATTGTTAGTGCATGTGTATTAACAGATATCGAATTTTAGCGACGTATTTACATTGACAGTGGCAAGAAGTATGACTTAATTCTTACTATAATTCCCGTGACTTTATCTTAACTTTTTGACGACATGCAAATCCCTAAGACAGTTATAATGTGAACATCTCAATTCACCGCCATTCTATACCGGCTCTTTATACAGATACTCTTGATTAATTTGGTACAGAATTAAACAGGACATCGGTACCTACTAGTGTAGGCTCATAATGTACAACCAGCCATCAGCCTTATTAACGTAGTATTATTAATTATTAATGACGTAAATTTTAATAATTTTAGAGCAGAATATGTTTTTTTTCTTTTACAACGTAATCTCTGGCCTATGACTTCTGAGGATGTAATGTCTTGAACTTTAGTGATATGAACATTTTACGTACACAAAACGGGGCTCATTATATATATAATGTATATATATAAGAATATTATTAAAGCAAAGTGCGTTCGTTTGACCTTCTTTAATGTGGCAGTGGAGCGAGGAATTTACAATTGTTTTTGAAATTAAATGATATTAGGTTTGAAAAACGCTATTGGAAAACGCTATGGGAACGCACGACTCTCTTTCGTCACAAAAAAAAAGATTGCGATTAGTAGATTAGATTAGATTAGATTAGTAGACGTAAAACTAAATATTTTAAGGATGTAACATAACTTAACCTTTGCGCTACAATCCGTGACTATATAGACTGGCCACAAAAGGCCTACTGTACACGATGGGTGATGTGCGCACTTTCATCACAGAGTTTGCGTTTTTTGCGAGGCTTACCGTATGTATAGAAAGGGTTAAATCAGAATTGTGTGCAAGCAGAGTGCTCGAAAGGCGATGACGTCACAAGTGGCAGTGAGAATTTTTCTTTCTCTTTTCTTTGAACTTTGATATCTACCCGCTCAATCCTTCATTAACTAACTTGCTTTTCGACGGTTACAATTTTTTTTTTAAGAAAGTGCATTGTTTTATAATCCACGAGTCTAGATCAATTCTGTCAAATCTAGAAGAGACTCGTTCATTTTTTAATATAGATTTTACCAAATTATATTTTTAAGGCAGTCTTTTGCGAAAAAAAAGTACATTAATCAAGGTGGTTTAATTCAAAGTGAATACTTAATAACAAGATTCAACTATAAGACTGTATTGTTTTTCAATGAATTGAAGCCCGTATAAATATTTTAAAGGCCTCGTTGTCGTCATGCGAACTAACGAAGTCAGTCGGTCACTTTCACTTGCGGGTCGAGGCNTCATGCGAACTAACGAAGTCAGTCGGTCACTTTCACTTGCGGGTCGAGGCCTCCGTCTCGTGCGCTTCGGAATTGTTCAATAACTGTACTTCATTCTGAACTAGACGACCTTACCTACAATATTATGTCATACGCACTAATTATCTATCTTATGATTTTTGCTTTTGCGTGTGCTTAGTCATTCTCCTGCCCTTCTCCCAGTCATCTTTATCAAATGCCATTTCTTCGCTCATTTCCCTCTTACACATATCGTCTTTTATCGTCTTTCACGCAATCCATCCATTTCTTCTTAGGTCTACCTCTTCCTCTATATCCTTCTACATTCATAGTAACCTCATTTTCATCTCGTCTCATCACATGTCCATACCATCCCAAACGCGCACTTCTCAGCTTCTCTGTCACAGGTGCCACTTTCAGACTTCCTCTAACACATTCATTCCGTATTCTATTCATTCTCGTTACTCCACACATCCATCGCAACATCGCATCTCTGCTGCATGAAATCTCTTTTCATCCGCCACTATAGTCGTCCCAACAAGCGTGTGCGTGTGTTTAGTACTAAATGAAAATCAGCTTATATTGAATGTAACATTAAATGTAGTTCAAAATATTCATTATCGTTCGTTGTTAATATCCAAAGTCCTGTTTCGCTTCTGTTAACATTTAGCAATAGCACGACGCCTTAACAGACCCAATGAAATGTTAATTATGACCTATGACCTAGTGCTGTCGTAGATGTGACCTTACACAGAAGATGTCGGGGCATTACACGCGGTCGAGGTCATTTTGGTCGACGGTGAATGGAGAATTTGTAACGAGCTTTGAATGAAAGGGAAATGTTTTTAAACTACGTATAGAAGAGGAGTTTTTATTTTGTACTTGTATTTTAATGTACCTTTTTATTAATTTTGCGGACGAGCTGAGACGGAAGACCAATTGACGAGCTCACAGCCTACCTGGTGTTAAGTGGTTACTGGAGCCCATGGACAACCACAACGTAAATGCGCCGCCCACCTTGAGATAGAAGTTCTAAGGTCTCAGTATAGTTACAACGGCTGCCCTACCCTTCAGACCGAAACGCATTACTGCTTCACGGCAGAAATAGGCGGGGCGGTGGTACCTAACCGCGTAGACTCACGAGAGGTCCTACCACACCAGTAATTACGCAAATTATAATTTTGCTGATTTGATTTTTATTACACGATGTTATTCCTTCACCGTGGAAGTCAATCGTGAACATTTGTCGAGTACGTATTTCGTTAGAAAAATTGGTACCCGCCTGCGGGATTCGAACACCGGTGCATCGCTAGATACGAATGCACCGGACGTCTTATCATTTAGGCTACGACGACTTCAAATAAACATTCACATAAACATGATAAAATATCTGTTATAATAAAAATTTCCAGGTGCGGACATGTCCTTCCAAGGTGAATACGCAGCGCAAGTGTTAGGACTCTCGAACGATGCGTCGACTACCCCGGCTCCTCGGGAGGAGCCCCCCGCCGCCTCGCCCCGGCCCACCTCGAGGACTCTATACCCTACTGACCCGGCGCCGCCTGCATCCTCACCTTTCAGGAAAGAAGAGAAGGAAACGAATCATGTCAATAAATTTGTTAATGTGAGTACTCTTTACGGTTATCGTAACGAGCAGACGAGACAGCGATCTGACGACAACTGCCGCGGATGCCATAAATACGAACGTTCTTTCCATCAACATGACATACACACATGCACATATAGACACTTTACGTAAAATTTCCAGAAATTTTTCTACTTTTTGCGTGAGTGCTACGTATACAGTTCTTGTTGTGGCAAAACTTCCTTGCAGTCCAAGAGCTAGAGACGAAGCTCACGACTCGCCTTATCTTGCGCCACTAGACATCGATATAGTTCGGTCGCCCATTTAGCTCTTTACTCAAGACTGAACCTTTATTATGATTGTTAAGGAATAACTGGCATGTTCTGCTACCTGAACTTGCTTCGCGGCAATTAAAGACATGCTAGTGACCTACGGAAATTTATTAACTTTATTACTTTTAATAAAATGTATTGATGATTCTTTAAAGCGAGAGTTGGTCATGAATAAGTACATGATATATGATACATAATTATTCTTAACAAGAGGTCCTACCACCAGTAGTAACTCTCTTCGAGAGCATTAAATAGGCTAACATTGTTCGTTTCTCGTTTCTAGCAGCGGTTTCCCCCCGCGCCCGAGGAGGAGGGCGTGCTGGACCTGCGGGCGCGCGACCCCTCCGTCATATCGGTCGGCTCGCAGCACTCCGGCGCCTCGGAGCCCGCCGGGTACCTGGACGCCGTCAGGTCAGTCGCATCGAGACGATCCTACACCAGAAACCGTCCTTGTGGTTGCGATAAACGATAACTGTACCAAGTTTCGACTCTATGGGATAAACGACACGAGAACAGACCAGGAATGTAAATCGCGTAAACCAGGAATGTAAAAAAGAACAAAAACTTTTGAAAATATAACTGTACTGAGCTGTGATTGTGTCGATCCGCCCTGCTGCTTGTTGCAGTCCTTTATGGAGATGGCACAGCGGATTCCCTACCTTGAATCGGTCTTGTGAAAAGCTGACAATACTACATCAACTTAGGGAAGGTTGAAAGTTGAGAGCCAGAGCCACTAGTAGAGCTAGCGGAACGGTAAAGGATCCCAAGAAGATATGGCCGAAATTGCATAGTTAGGTAGTTAGTACATAGTGTAGTAAACTTTCATTGAACGGTTCCAAAGATGTGAAGTCGATCATTGTAATTTGGCGCACAATCAGGCGAGGGAATAGTCTAATAAACTAAATACAAATAAAATGTCAAATAGAGTATACGCTTGTGGGTCATATAGAAAACTGGTAGGCCTCTGAATTGAGCCCAGCAGCAACGGTGACCAGGTAAAGTCTTTGAGTTACAGCCCTGTCGCTCTTATTGTCCTGCTGCTCAAGGCGATGGAGCCGTCTGGTTAGTGGCAGGTAGCATGGCTTCCGTTATCTCACTCGCCGCTGGACAGAGACCTTGGAGAGTAAAGGTGGAGAGCCTTCATATCGACAAGAAGCTCTGGCATAAGGCACTTCTGTCGAAGCTGCTATTTGCGGATTTCCCGATAGTTTCTGCAAGTGGATCGCCCACTGTTTGAATGGACAGAGCGTCGCAGTCTACTGCTGTGATTGGTTACGTAGATGTTCCGCAAGTTACGATGCTGTTTCCATGGTTTTTGTACATTGCATGCAATACTTGCTATCGGTATATTTCGGGTCACTATTTCGAGTTGTGTTCGACGTCGAAGGCAATTGGGCAAAGCCACACTGACTTTTAAAATGTCGGGAGTCTTCGACAAGGCGAAACGGTAGTGTGACCCTGCATAAACGCGTGTTTTACAAAGCACAGGTCCGATCTCTCGTTGGGTTTGAAGTCGTCGTGGCCTAAAGGATAAGATTCCCGGTGCATTCGCATCGAGCGATGCGGCTTGCCGATGTTCGCGTCCCGCAGGCGGGTACTTTTTATGTGGGTTTAGTCGGCAGTCGGTTTTGCGGGGCAGGTTTCGCGTGGCTGAGTCCACGCAGCGCCTCACGCGCCTTTGTCGAGGCGTAGTTTCCCAGCAGGAACTGGAAGAGGAGGACCTCGGTCTTCTTCTTTTCCCTTTTGTTCTGTGGAGGCGCCGGAGTCCGACATAACTGGTCTGTGATCCCCCTTGACCGCGTATCCGTAAACGGATCACCAGCCTTAAAAAAAGGCAGGTACTTTGCACATAATGAAAGATAATTTTCATAAAGAAAGAATAACTTTGCATATTAAAAAATAAATTCACAAATTTTTTAATTTGCCTTATATTATATTATATATTTGCCCTATATTATATTATTTATTTGCCCTATATTATATTATATATTTGCCCTATATTATATTATTTATTTGCCCTATATTATATTATATATTTGCCCTATATTATATTATATATTTGAGACACATACTTCAACAGCTCGATTAGACGTTATCAATAAAAATTTCTGCCATTTTTAAGCCGGGACTCCCAAACACACACGAGGGGCCGCTCGGCGCCTACAGACCGCCCCGCACCGCCCGGCGCTGTGTAACTTTTGATAAAGCTTACTAAAACATCTCTGTTTGCTTAAAACCTACATAAGCTTTTCAATCCTTCCAATCATTATTTATTAAGCTTAAAACTTCAATTAAATGAAACTAAATTACAACAAAATTACTGAATCCACGTTACCCAATTCATATTTACACTAAAATTAACACTTGTGCTAATCAGACAGATACACCATATAAAATATATTTAAAATATGAAATCGTGAAATTCAATTTGATTACATCAATACGTTATTTGGAGTGAGTGTGTGTTTATTGTGTACATTACATTTGTCGAGTCGAACCGGAACTATGTTGTTTACCGTTTTCAATATTCGTAGGGGCCGCGTGTTTGCGCAGTGCTCGCCGGACGATTTATTTATTCTGAGATAATTTTTCGCATATTATATAGACGACTAGCTGTACTCGCCCGCTTTGCTGCGCATTTAAAATGAGCATTATTATTTATTGTCATTATTATTAGGGAGTTCAACACTCATATAAATATTAGCCTATCCATTAAATACATGTATTATCTACATGGATACCAAGTTTCAAGTCAATCGAATGCATGCTTCAGTAGTTATAACGGAACATCCGTAAAAACTACTGTAGATTTATATATTAGTTATAGATTTTGAATCCGAACTTTGATATCGCGGACAGACATCGGGTTGTCCGTGAGCACCTTCGACACTGTACCGCCCATAATAATACAGTGCATCCTCGTTAAAACAAAAAGGAAGGGGACAAGCAAATATTCGTTATATCAAGTAATTCGGTAAACTGAGGTTAGATTAGGTTGGTCTACCTAGGTCGTCGACTATCGCCTCGACGACCCGTGGGTCGAGCGTCCTCGGGATGGCGCCGCGTGTCTGGTTGTAGTGTTGACCGTGGGAACCCCCCTACTCTGACCGGTTCTGACCCCGGACGGAGATCGGACGACGGATGTAAGAGTGCAGGGGAGTCGTTTAGTGGGTTGGGCCCGCGGTCTGCTCCCAACACCTTGCAAATCGTCAAGTCCACATACCTCGTAGGAGGTTTGGCCCCCAGCCCGAAGAAAAAAAAAAGTTTGGTCTACCTACAAACGAGGTAAAAAAAATAGTTTTATTCACCTCAATATTAGGTAGTCATCTTGTTATAACGAACAACGTCTACTAATAAATAATAACACATTTTTATCAAATTACTGTATGTATTTTCTATTTACAAATAATTAGGTAGGTAATTAGAGGTATTTACACTTTTTTCGAAAATTCGTTGAAAATGCGTTATAAAGAGGTTGTTCGCAAGAAATCTTCGCAATGTAATGTTAAGGTTTTACATTGACTCTTAATTCAAGGGCATAACGAAGAATTTGTTAAATCGAGGACGTCGTTATATTGAGGTTCATTATATGTAGGTATTAAGGTCGCACTGTATTTGGCAAATGTTTTTTGTTCCGCGCACAATGTAATGCTATTCTAGATGAGTCGACGCGGGGTTCATCGCTCCCGCGGTCTCGTGTGACGCAGAGAGTTCTGTTTGTTGAGAGAGTTGTGCAGGCTACCCCTTGTCGTGCTTGATAAATCATAAATACTGCTAAAACTAGGCCAATTATTACTGTTTATGTTGTAGGTTTTATTGTTTAGATTTTGGGAAACTTTACACCCTCTATTTTTGAATAGCACGTCGAGTCTTGAAGGATTGTTATTAGGAAGCTCGGTAAGCTGCAGAGATTTGCAGTTGTAATGTTCGCTTCGGGAATGGCTTTAATAAAATTGTAAAAGATCGAATTCAAACCGCTAGTAAAGTATGAGCTGACACGTTTAGAGCGATCTTTTGGATGCGGATAGAGAGATTCTTTCCGTTTAATAACACCTTAGTAGTCCGTGACAACGAAACCCAAGATATTCAGAAATAATAAAATGATAATAATAATAAAACCAAAGAATCAAATTAGTGTTTGGGTTGAGCGAGTGGTGGCCAATTATGGCCGCTGTGCTGCAGAGACCGTCGGTCGGGCGTCCTCGGAGTGCCGCCGCGAGTCTGGTTGTAATTGACTGCGGGAATCTCTCACCCCGGGCGGAGATCGGACGTCGGGTGAGAGAATGCAAGGTGGAGTCGTTTGGTGCGGTAGGGCCCTAAAATATCATTGGGCCCGCAGTATGCTCCTAACATCTGCAGACCGTCAAATCCCACATACCATAGGCGCGGATACCTCGTTGGAGGCTCGGACCACAGCCCGAAAAAAAACGTTCGTAGGTTAACTGTTGTGATACAATAATAGTCAATCAGCCTGCTGATATTATTGCTGGTAATTCTTTAACCCAACAGCTACTTGAAACCTAATTTAACAACAGGATGTGAAGCTGTATTAAATTGAGAGTGGCTAAATGAATCCGCACATATATCCTTGTCATTAGGGCTCGTACACAACTTAATGTTATAAATGGCTTGTTGACAAACTTGCGAAATTCGTGCTTGAAAACGTTAATATGTTATTAACGTTTGATTGTCGACACACGCTTATGATTCAATCGAACTGCGATTGGCCAAGAAGTAGGTGTGGATGTAACTGATTAGTATTGTATCTAATAATAGACTCGGCGTGTCCTCTGAAAGGTAAACACTCTGGCGAAGATGATGTTTGCTTTTAAATTTATCGGTTATTTTTTATGTCTCCCATTTGGAGGCTGGTCTTAGGCTGGTCAGGCTGCGAATTTTACTTTTGGTAAAATATATCCATATTATTGTTGAGGTAGGACACGAATGTATAACAATACAACATATTTTCTGCTAATTAAATTTTTATATTTTAACTTGAAACGAAGCACTAAAATTAAGATAAGCAAGTCTGCTATGTCCGTATCTGATTTTTAGTGTAGATTTTGTTTGATATTTTTCCGCTGGAGCTTTACACAGAAATTCTTTGATTTATTTTTTTGGTCTGTTCTCGTCTCGATTATCAATATAATCCGACATCGTAACGTTTTATTCGATCACTGGCTGTTGCTATTTGAACGTGATGTTTGCATTAATTATGCCACATTATAAAGGTTTGGATGCGTCCACACAGTTACGTCACTCTAGACGTGTAACCACAGAATACATATTTGTCAGTCGACACATACCTTGTTGGTATATTTGATTTTTATATTTAGCGCGGATGCTGCGTTTGCTGATCTTGTGTCGGTTGCTAGGGAACAGATGACACTAGGCAAACTGTGGGTTAAATCGTAATTAATTTTCAGTAGATTTGATTATTTCTTTTAAGTCATTTGTGTACATCAATAATACAACATCAAACAGACGGCAAATAATTGAAATGTCGACGACCGAAGGTGCCATCATCTTTAGTCGTCCGTGACCAAGATAACTGTACAGTGTACGAAGCGTAGAAAAAATATTTAAATGATTAAAAGTAAACGAAACGAAGTTAGAATGTGAAAGTAGTTTTATATTTACGAGTCGTGTAAACTGGAGGTAAATGAAAATCGTTCTGAGATTACATGTACTACTTTTCTATATCGTTCCCTCACTACTGAAGATCACGTCCACATGTGATGTTCCTCAACTGTGTTCGATCGTGGGTGGCATGGACCGCATGGCACAGACTACCACCAAGTGCTTCTCTTACTAGAACTCACCATCTGGCTGGTGTTCTACTACTGTTCCGTATATTTACATATTATAGTCCTAGGGTCTTATTCGTAATGAATTATCGGGGCGTTATAAATCTGTTATAAAGTGATCAAACGTGTTATTCGCATAAAAAAATTTAAAAAGACGATGTGGATAACGCCTTTTGTCAGTCGTATAACAGGGTGGCAGGACCCCTTGTGAGTCCGCGCGGGTAGGTACCACCGCCCTGCCTATTTCTGCCGTGAAGCAGTAATGCGTTTCGGTTTGAAGGGTAAGGCAGCCGTTGTAACTTTACTGAGATCTTAGAACTTATATCTCAAGGTGGGTGGCGCATTTACGTTGTAGACATCTATGGGCAAAAAGGGTCCCTCGTCCGTGCGTACACGATACGGTGTACATTGCGCGCTGCGGCTGACGCGCAACGGTCCGCTTGCAGGTCGACGGTGTCCGTGTACTCGGGCAACTCCAACTCGAGCTCGGACCGCGACATCCTGGACCTGTCGATGCCGGACAAGAACTCGATGACGGAGGTGTGCTACGTCTGCGGCGACGAGTTCAAGCGCGGCACGCTCTACAACCTCAACACCAAGGAGCCCAAGGATAAAACTGTGAGTTCGCTCTGTCGCTCTGTCGCTTATTGCTTACAGGGGTACAACGTGGTGGATGAACAGAGGATTAACTTAATTTTACATTAGCAGCTTATTTTAAGATATATAATATTTAATTAATAAAAAATAACAGTTTTTAAATAAATAAAAAACTAAAATAGCTAAACGAATCAGCAAATCGCTTTAGTTTTTATATCTCGTTGACACACTATCCTCATCGGTCCTCGATGCGTGTACAAATTTTCAAGTTAATCGGATGTCTTGAAGCGAACCTACGAAGCAAGGTAGTAAAAGTGCGGTAAAGTACATAATTATAATATTCTTTGTACTCGTAATGACGAAACGATAGTATAATCTAATGAGATTATACTGTCGTTTTTGTGGCCAGTACCCATTTTCAATGTAATTATGTATGCAAATCAACAAAATTGTGGTATATTCCGTGAAAACGTGACAAACATTAACAATTTGAAAAATGAGTACCCGCCTACGGGATCCGAACCCTGACACAGTCGCACCGCGCGCTGTGCATACCCAGCGTCTTACCTCTTAGGCCACGACGACTGTTCTGGAAGTTCTGGAGTTATTTATTCTACAGTTTTCGTGACACACATGTCTCTGTGCGTGATGATGACGTAGCCGCCGCAAACCTACCACATGACAATATTAGCGCTGACTATATCGGCTGGATCTGTGTACTTAGTGCGAGTTATTTAACGTTCTCGATAGCGTAAAAGTTAATTAAAATTTGTACGGAGTTGGAACGTTTGCCTGCGTTTGCCGCTAGAGGCGCTGTTCCAACTGCATACAAATTAGAATTAACTTTTACGCTATCGAGAACGTTAAAAAACTCGCACTAAGTACAGTAAGCGTGAGTGACACGTGACTTATTTACAAACGATCAGTCTGAGTTCATTACGCGAGTAACATTTACAGTGCGCTTATTTATTTCCTTGTTTTCATTTCTATACGATAATAGTTTCCGATTGAAGTCGATTTGTTTTTGTTTTTACTCATTAGTCGTTCAATCCTTGATTTCCATGTTGAAAAATATTGGCCAAAGATTAAGATTTAAAAGAAACATCGATTTATTAATCTACTCATTGGACTATCGCAACTCAATTTGTGGTGGGGGTTTTTTCCATTATGGCAAGATTCACGAGTCACTAAATAGTTATAAATAGCAATAGGGTGGTTAAATGAAAACATAAAGACTAGCGACCTTGGCGTTCTCGTACTAAATTCCCGTCCGCTATCAGACTCACAGTATCTAACCTTGCGTCTTGACTTTTGACTTTCGCACGTAGTATGTACTTAGATTAAATATCTATGAAGGTCATATATTTTAAAGCAACGACGTACTTTTAGTACCGGAATTCGGTTGAAGATCTACATATATTTAACCTCCGCGTCGCGGCTTCATTATCACTACATAGTATAAAACAAAGTCGCTTTCTCTGTCCCTATATACCTTTGTATGCTTAAATCTTTAAAACTACGCAGCGGATTTTGATGCGGTTTTTTTTAATAGATAGAGTGATTGAAGAGGAAGGTTTATATGTATAATAACATCCATTAAATAGTGGAGAAATCAATAATAAATTACAGTTTCCGAAGCGGAGCGAGGGCGGGTCGCTAGTAAAGTATAAGACATCCGGTATAATCTTATCGAGCGATCCGACAAAGAACGTGTTTAAATCTCGCAGGCATTTATTTATCTAATTTACCACTTATTTGAGATATGTTCTTGAATGTGATCCGCGGCGAGGAAATAGTATCGTGTAATAAAAACCAAAACTCTGTGGCGGGTAGCCATCATACAATGTAAAATATTTGACAGATGCCTGAATCGCGCTTACGACATTTTCAAGATAAGCTTGCATATATACAAGTTCCGAACAACGACATTTGCCGGTCATCGTTCTCGTCGAACCCTTCGCTTGCGACGAAGGGCTCGACGAGTAAATTAACCCACAGACACAGCTCATTGCGTAATTCTGCCTAGTTCAGCCGCGAAGCAGTAATAGGCACTGGTGTTAAGGGTGGGGAACCGTTATGTTGTTGAGACGTATACCTCATGCCTCAAGGTGAGTGGCGACACCATGATGTCCACGGGCCCCGGCAACCACTTAACCCAGATTCTCCGTGAGCTTGTTCACTAATATTAGCAAAACGTATTTTCTGTACATCTTTACTGTGTATATAGATGTGTATAGACAGGATTTAACTCGGCCTAAATCAAACTTAACTATAATATAACAGAATACTTAGTGTATGATAATTTGATATATTATGAAGAGGAAAGATTTGTTTGTATTGAATAGGCTCCGAAACTACTGAACCGATTTGAAAAATTCTTTCACTGTTTGGAAGCTACACTATTCCCGAGTGACATAGGCTATAATCATTAAAAAAAAAATGTGGCACTCAGGAACTGCCGCGGTAAAGCTATTGCATAGCATTTTTTATCTACTTATGCAATTATAATTAGACAATGATAATTTAATATTAAAACAATAATAAAACAAGACCACGCTATATTAAACATTAATAAAAGCAAAACATTAACTGTCCCCTTCTCACTCATAAGCTAGACCGCGCGAGAGAGAGATGGGCAGACTTTTCATGATGCGCATGCAATGTGACGTCACGCCACGCGCTTATTCACAAACACTACACAAGCGCAACGTGTGAATGTGTTGAACGCGCTACATGGTAGGCGGAGTGAGGGGTGTTAGGTTTTTTTCGTTACGGAATTTCATAATTCAGTCGCCGCGCTCAAGGCCCGCGATAAAAGCTATGCAATAGCATAAAAAGGATCGTTACTAAATCTCCAATAATGTAACCCAAGGTGCAAAAGAATTACTTAAATTTTTCTTTACATCACGTGCCCTGCGAAAACTATTGATGATAGAATAAAATAATGTACTAGGACTTTTTAGCACACATTATTATTTACAAAAAGTGTCGCGACAGCATATGTCTTAACTATTATAATTATGCCGCAATAATTAGTGTTCTTTTATTTAAAAAAATTAAACAACGTCAAATATCGTTGAAATTTTTGTTAAAGACCCGAGCGGAGCCGGAGCGGGCCGCTGGTGTATGATAATTTGAAAAGAACACTCGCGATGTTAGTACATATTTATTTGTGGAAGCTTTAGTTGCGTCGAGATAAAAACTAGAAATAATCGGTTGTGTTCCAACGTTATCAACACGAGTTTGTTTTACGCTTCAATGTACTACGGGGTGTATTTGTTTCTTAAACTACACAATAGTGATAAGCGATAGTTTGTTCAAAGCCTCCGTCGACCGAAAATTCTCCATTAGTTTTGGTTTAATCAATTAAATTCACACACTTTCATATTTTTTATTCGAAAACTCCTGACCATACGCATTTGTTCGCCTTATAGCAGCATGGTGCAGACAACATCGGTCTCATGGCCTACTGGGTGTGGAGTACTTTACTGGTATTTTTACTGGTGGTGGGATCTCTTGCGAGTCCTCACGGGTGGTGGTACCCCGCCTATTTCTGCCGTGAAGCAGTAATGCGTTTAGACTTGAACGGTGGCGCAGTTGTAACTATACTGAAACCTTAGAACTTATATGTCAAGGTGGGTGGCGCATTTGCCTTGTAAATGTCTATGGGCTCCAGTAATCACTTAACGCCAGGTGGGCTGTGAGCTCGTCGACTCATCTAAGCAATTAAAAAAAAAAGAGTAGTCACTTGACTCCGTGTCGCCTTTTAGAACCGCAGCTACTGGATGATTGAGCACCAGTCAAAGCTACTTTCCTGTCTAATCTATCCTAATGTGGCTCATGACGACGGCAACTGTTGCGGGCGCGTGGACTACGGAGGATACTGCGCTAAGCACTCGGCATCTCGTTTTTACCATCGCACCGCCCGCCACCGGAGTAGAGTTCATCCATACTACCTGGAGCCACTGCGGTCATCCACAGTGCGTTTCCAGAGGTCTTTTTTGCCACGTACCATCCGGCTATGGAATGAGCTCCCCTCCACGGTGTTTCCCGAGCGCTATGACATGTCCTTCTTCAAACGAGGCTTGTGGAGAGNGTTGACTTCTGTCTATTCGATAATATAATACATCATTATCACTTTGATTGGTCGTTTTGCTTACACAGTTAATTACTATCTAGTATCCAAACTAACGTTATAAACGCCAAAGTTAGTTTGTTTGTTTGTTTATTACGCTTTCACGTCTTAACTAATCGACCGGTCATTTTGCTTAAACGTTGTTCTGGGTACGGACATGGACGTCATCATCCAAAAAAGTGCTATTCACGAGGAATACATTTTGTTACTGTTGCATCGCGACGTGGAAAAAACCGTTATAATCTAAATGGAGGTAGTTAAAATTTTCTTTTTTACCTTTTTTATTTTATTGCTTAGATGGGTAGATGAGCTCACAGCCCACCTGGTTTTATTATAGATATCTACGACGTAAATGCGCCACCCACCTGAGTATAAGTTCTAAGGTCTCAATTATAGTTACAACGGCTGCCCCACCCTTCAAACCGAAACGCATTACTGCTTTACGACAGAAATAGGCAGGGCGGTGGTACCTACCTACCCGCGCGGACTCACAAGAGGTCCTACCACCAGTACTTCAAACGGAAATTCGTTTTCATGCCACGACACGTCGGGAACTGTAATACCTCTAATGTAAATTTGTTTCAAATAATCCAACTAGAGTGGAAGTCGTGACAATCACGTCCCTGACGTCACAGACTCGCCTTGTAGCAAACAGCCAGTAAATTGAAACATCTCCGCTGCGCGAGGCTATCGGGGGTCGTCGCAGGTCGGAGGTCGGAGTGTATCGCAGTGGAAAACATCTTCTCATATACGTCGAACCTTGTGAACCGGGGTCGTGAGGGTTATCGTCCGTTCGTCACATGGGACCGACGCACACCAGCCGCTCGACGGCTTCGGCACGGATGAAAGTTGTCATTCATAGATCTTGATTACTGTCCAAACAAGCAAATAGTGTATCCGCGTAAACTGATATTGCGAATATCGAAACGCGATTCACACGAAAAAATGGGCTTTATGATGATGAATGGTGTATACGTAAGAAAATGATCGTGTTTTAAAGTTAAACTTTTCACGGCATTAGATACTGGGAGGAAGAGCTCGCGGGGGTGACATTTGACATGACACTGGGGAATGGTTATGGTGAGCTTCAGTAACGATCCTTAAAACAGGTGTGTCGTGTTGGGGCGAGGGGGTGTGTTATATAAGAAAACAAGAATAATAGCACGAAAGTAAGAAGTGTTTATATTGGGTACTTCAGTGTTTGATAGAGCATCACAGATTCCATTTTTAAATCAAAACATTTTGTTATTCATACGAACTACTTATCATCGCACGTTGACGCTTCAATGTTGACGAGTTCATCGGTCTGGTCCGCATCAGAAGAGAGGTTTTAATCTCGTGCTCACGTAGTTGTTCCGTTAGAACACGCGTTCCGAAAACTTTATAGTTTAACGATTGGTATAAAAGAGTTTCTCGAGGGTTAGTTTGTTGTCTCAGCCGATAACGTCGTTTCTAGTCTCTCAGGATTCTTTGTGGTGGTAAAGGGTAAGGCACTGGGACCGATATCAGTGGTCAATGTCAGAGGAAGCGCGATAGGACACGATCCTGTAGCGTTCCTAAATAAAGCACACGGACAACGAATGACGTTGCGCAGTATTGGGTCGGGTAAAGTGTAGAGTGCACTTTATCATTATGTTTTGTAAGATCTTTGACCTTGAGTGCGACTGTGAGGCGATGTTTACAAAACGATACCACGCCGTTAGTCTCATTAGGATGCTAATTATTGTGATAACGTTTAGATTTTGACTATACTTAATTATTGAACTTTTCACTGATTTATTTGCCCCCGTTTTGTTTAAAGTTTATGCATCGATCGGATTAGTCATTCAGTCTTTGTTTGAATCAACCGACTCATTGAATCTGGTTAGGGTTGCTGTTATCGCGAAACAAAACTGTCCTGTTAATCTATATATGAGTCGACTATTATCAAAGCCGGCAATGTGACTTTTGGACAATTATTGGTAAATCAGAAAAACGAATTATTGACTTTGTATTCCATTGGCAATAATAAAACTCTTCTGAACGACATCTTAGATAAATAACAGGTTAAGTATTAACCTTTATTTAATGCAGGTTTTGAACCGTATTCTTTGAAGGAGACGATTATATTCAAATCAATCTGTATTGACATATCAATAATTTTTTTTTTGTCCAAATGCACAGATTGCCGCCTTTGATAATAGACGACACATATATAAAAATGAATTGCTGTTCGTTAGTCTCGCTAAAACTCGAGAACGGCTGGACCGATTTGGCTAATTTTGGTCTTGAATTATTCGTGGAAGTCCAGAGAAGGGGTTTAAAAGGTGAAAAAATATGAAAATGCTTGGAATTATATAAAAACAAACAATTTTGTTTTTCCTTATTAGATGTGTCCCCTTGATGTATCTTTTATTTACTGATTCAGGCACTACGAAGTCTGCCGGGTCAGCTAGTTTAATATAAAATTTAGCTTATTCAAGTCTAATTAAATGTTTTAACTTTACTGACAACTGATCGAGTTTTAAGTTAAATAAAATTAAATTATTTCTAATACGCTTTTGATAGAATTTGTGTGTCTGTGTAACGGAATATTTGAACGCGATTTCCACCCATTTCTAAACGTCGGATCGGTTTGAATCTAAGCACACGTATCGAGGACCCGCGACCATACAACGATCTAATAAAATTTACCAGTTATCCTGATCAGGATCGTCAGGAATAATGCTGTAAACACAGTAGTGTCTTTCGCAACACGCCCGCCGCCGGTTTTGGATATGGTGGCCGTTTCTCAAGCTCCTTCTTGGCAATCAAACCCTAGTTCCCCGTTAGAACCCTCGTAGTCCTACCATCACCTACCATAAGTTAGAAGAACTTGATTGACAGGGAAGTCCTGTGTATTGGTGACGCATCAAATGTGATTATAGAGAAATTAAGAAATAAATTATAAAGCTACATTATAATCTGTTTCACATTTGATGCCATCAAAATTCGATTTTCCTTTGCTGTGAAATAATTAATTTTATGATAAATAATTTTTTTATTTTTTGGTTCAGCTAGCTACAAATGCGAGTGTTTTGATTATTGAAACGATTATATATTTATATGCACAGACGGGCAAACAAGCTGACGGCCCATCTGGCTTAAAGTGCTCACCGAGCATTTTCATATTTATCTACCATTTAAACCTTCTCTGGACTTCCATGAATAATTCAAGACTAAAATTAGCCAAATCGGCATAAGCGTTCTCGAGTTTTAGCGGGACTAACGAACTGCAATTCATTTTTATATATATATATATATATATATAAATAATTGAATCCTTCATAAGGTGCTAAGTTAAGTTACATCAGCAATCGTGTGTAAGTGACATATTAATTTGAACCTTAAGTTTCAGGCAAAGCAACCCTATTTCCCGATCTTCGGCGAGCAGCACCCCCGGCCGCCGCGCTCCCGGCCCAAGGACGCGCAGGGCACCGTGCGGGCCTGCAGCGCCTGCCACCACCACCTGCTGCAGCAGTGGAACACCTACCAGGTACCGCATCCTCCGCCTCTAGGGACGAGCCGGCTGGGCTGCTTCGGAGTATTAAGCGGTAGGCAGCGGTTTGGCGCGACGGTAACCACTCACTATCAGGTGGGCCGTATGCTCGTCTGCCTACAACGGCAATAAAAAAAAAGTTCTCCAAACATTTAATAAAATACACCACCACCCGGCCTATTTCTGCCGTGAAGCAGTAATGCGTTTGGGTTTGAAGAGTGGGGCAGCCGTTGTTACTATACTGAAACCTTAGAACTTATATCTCGAGGTGGGTGGCGCATTTACGTTGTGTATGTTTGTGGGCTCCAGTAACCACTTAACACCAGGTGGCCTGTGAGCTTGTCCACCCATCTAAGCAATAAAAAAATGGCGAATGGCCCAATGGCGGAAAATGTCCATTCCATCATAATAAAACGCTAGTTATCCAGATTTTACGATCTATGTATTATAGTAAGTATATAATAGTAAGCATTAAAAATTTTTAAAAGTGTAATGTTGTACTTAAGTACTACTGTACTGTTTGTAAGTCGATAAGAAACATTTACGTTCCATTCAATTGTAAAGTTCCATCGCGTTGTGTACAGTTTGTTTGTCGCGGCGACCGTCGCCACGCGCCACGAAGTACTACGAACATTCACGTGAGATTTAGATTTTGAGAACCGTTTCGTGAAATATCCCTCCGCACACCGAGTTTACCTATAAAGAACAACTGTATTTTAATACTAAACTTATTGTTAAAATTAAAACTATTAAAAAATCTTAAAACTAAAGCTACATTTCTTTATGAAATTTATAAACAAAATCTTTTACACTGACAACAACATTACACAAATGTCTGTTCGTATAACAAGAGATTGTGATCTGTCAATTTTATTTAAGAATACGTTGACAACTGCTTCTCAAACTTTACACTTCGAGTCGGAGGAAATTTAAAACTAATTTTTAATAAAATAAAAAAAACGCGTATATATTCGTGGAGCATATAAAGTACCTTTAATTATTTGTTTGGTTTACATTAGCGTGTATCAGATAGAGATACATACCCGAGCCACGCCCCGGGTGGTTCTGTACTACCACATTAGTATGTACTCGCGACACGTGGCCAGCGAAAGCTAATTTATCTGTTACATCACGCACTTGACTCTAATGATTCAGGGATCAATGAAAATGTAACCTCTGTACACGCATCTCGCACGTGAGCACAGACTAAGGTGCCGTCCGTACAATGTTATATAATGATGTCTCTCTTGTTAATTATCGCGGGGTCGTGTCGGGTCTGCGATTGTTTCTAGATATACCAATCTATTTTTCGTTATACAAAATGAACTTTGGGAGGGGCAGTACACGCGTTTTGCCGCGACAGTGCGGCGTGCCACTTATAAACAATAAAAAAACACACACAATAATAAAAACAATAAAAAATAATAACATAAAATAAAAAACAAGACGGGCCGTGCGTCATCCAAAAATCTCGGGGTTCTGTTTTATCGGCAACCACACTCGTTTAACTCTACTGTTGTCAAAATTTTACAAATTGTTCGGAACAATAAAATAAAATATAATTTACTTGTCTCTTCATGGGTGTAGTTCGAATCTTCTATCATCATTATCCTGCCCTTCTCCCAGTCACCTGGGCTCGGCGCCACATGTTTTCTCCTTCCATACTTCTCTATCATATACCATTTCTGCGCTAACTCCCCTCTTACACATAACGTCTTTTACGCAATCCATCTATTTTTTCTTAAGTCTACCTTTTCCTTTAGTGTGGTTCGAATCTTCCGTATCCTAATAAATGAGGTACCACCTATGCGGATCTACAACGATCCAACCCGATACGATATATGTAAATTCTGCGAGTTTCATTAGTTCTGCTAGTTCATTTTTTTTTTTCATCTAAGCAATAAAAAAAAAAAACACTATGCTACGTTAAATACGAGTATGTATCCTTGGATAAAAAATTACTCGCCTACGGGATTTGAACACCACCGTAGCTGCATCTCCTCAGAATTCCGTGGACCGCGCACCGTATCAACATTTCGATCCTGAAAGAGTTCGCGAGAGCATCAGTATCGCAGGATCCGTCTGATGCATGACCACGACCACTCTGTCAAGAGTGTACGAATAGGAAGAAGAAGTAGCTGCATCGCCAGCAGAATAACACCGGGCGTCTTACCTTTTAGCCGACGATGACTTCAAGAGTATCGTCCAATCATAAGGATTGAAAACTAGTTATGTGTCAAATATCTATAATAGATTTGCATCAAATTTATGTTTTTTATGTTCTCTGTTTCGAGTGAAATAGAACAAGTATTTCGATAAACTAAAATTAAGTTTTCATGGTCATTTGAAATGAATACGTCGTTATTATAACTGTTTCTCTCGTCGGTTCAAGGTCTCGTTAGAATGTTCCAAACAATAGGAGCACGTCTATATTTTTGTGGACACGTGTAAAATATATTTCAAAATTCTAAAAGGTAAACAAACCTATTTGATTTGAATTCGTATTTTAACTAAGTAAGATAACGGAATGACTTAAATCCGATGCTAGATTTTTATATGATTTTAAGGAGCTTCTGTCTTAATTTGAACTACATAGAGCGGTGGGTCCTGGATTGTGTAATTCGGATAAGAGTCTGTGAAAAATAATATCACACACACACAATATTGCACAATAATATGGCTCCTACGATATAACTGTATAAGTTGCTACTTATTTTGTATTTACCTGTATATTTTTAGTATTTATTATCTTATATTGTTTTTATTTTTCACATGTGTATATAAGTATATATTTTTATGTAAGTTTATTAAGATATAGCATCGTCCATGCTAGTTTGCTTATTCCTCTCCTTGCAAGGTTGCCTGCTAGAGATCGCTTTCAGCGATAAGGCCGCCAATTTATGTCACCGTCTATTATTTGTTTTATATGGTTACTCTGTACATGTGGTGTCAAATAAAAAGTTATATTATTATATTATTATCAATATGTATCACGAATTACGGGCGGATAATGGGGAAGTACTTCAGGTTAGAGCCCCGTGAGCTCACCTACTCGCTCGGTTAAGCTGGCATAGTCTCTAAAGGCTATCAGCGTAGATAGGGGGAAAAAAGAGGGGGAAGTACTTAGGGTGCTGCAGTAGGTAACGCTGGCAGGGTAATTATCTACAGACGACGATGTAATTGTCAGGTGAGGTTGAACGCTTTTCTGTGCTCACCGCTGATTCTATACGAAAAAGAAATTTGACGGGTTCTCAAGGGATGCCTCGGCATGTGACCATACACTTTAAACACAAAAAATAAAATAAACTTTATAATTAATTTAATATTAATAGAAATAATTTAGAAGAATAAAAAATGTGTTTTTCAAAATGAAAATATAATAAAATAAATAAAACATAATTATACTTTAAACAATAAAATCATTTAGAAACGGATTCAAGGATGGCTTTATGCAAAGATGAAGTCGTTATGATGAAATGAATAATTCAAGAAGTGATCGTAAAAATAATATTTGCATTTATATAGATCGTACTATATTGTTGCGACACGTGATCGTTGTGGACGATAAAACCGTATCTTAAATGTAAGATTTAATAAGTTGAATTTAAAGAAATGATGACCTAGTTATTTCGATTTCTCGTAATTTTTATGTATGAAATACAATAACATGTTAATTATTATTGAATCGGCTCCTTAAACGCGAGCATGGTATAATTTGAAGATCGAATTGTTTGATATTTTATATACGGCCAGTGGTTACAAGACCTTATAGCCTAACTCAAATACGTATGGAGTTCGTAAAAAATTACAATATTCTGTCATATGAAAAACGTTATGAACCAAAAGGAATTTGATTAATTTGATTCTTTAGTCATTTAGGATGGGATAGGAGGAGAGGAGATATAATAGAATTGTCCCAGTAATATGGTGGTTATTTACTAAGAGGTCAGTGGAGTTTTTGAAGAACCCGGAAAGCCACGACCAGCTTTATTTTCCGACATTTTTACACCTTGACAGATATATTGTTAACAAACCACGGTTATAACACATTTAAACCATAAAATAAAACAATTCAGGCAACTTCGCTCCTCGCGTTCCCCACCCAAATAAAATATTTATTATCGATAGCACAGGCTGGTGAGACTAGAAAATTAATTCGTTACTTTGCATCCATAGTCCATACCAATATGCATCCATAAACAAATTTTATATTGATGCATGCCTTCCCGGGATCCTACAATTATTGCATTACCACCGCTTCGGAATACAGTTTGATTAACGAAAAGAACCTTCTAGAATCTCTAGACTTGCTCATTTCCAAATGTATATATGATCGTTCCCAAAAGTATCAATATCTTTGTTCAGGCCAACATCTACCATAAACTAAATTACCTGTGTTGGACATCATTTTGACTTTATCAGAGCAATAACTTTCCTCTCTAAATAACTCACATTTACTTCTTGATTTGGGTATAACATTCTTGCGCAAAGCTTTTGACGTAGCTAGGAAAAGGAAAATAAATGAAATTATCAAATGAAATGAAAAGTCAAACTGCCATGGAAATACAGTTAAATATGATTTAATAAAATGTACATAAGTTGATTGTTGTAAAGATATTGGATACGGGAATGTTTATTAATTAATTACACACAAGTAAATAATTATAATTGATCTCTTTGCTTATCCCCGTTTGCACTCCATTATTATGTTTAGGTTTTTAGCTTGTATTTTTAATGAAATAGTGTTGGTTTTAAGTTTAATAATTTTGTATATATGTATATCTTTTTTCGCGGAATTTACGTCGAAATAACCTTAAACTTGCCACTCCCACAACTTGGACGACTCTAATGACCATCATAAATTAATCATTCCAAATAACACATTTTTATTAATCGAAGTTCACCCTAGATTAGTTATATCATCTTTAAATGAAGATCAGTAAAAAGGTACAGTCAGATTCAATCTCAAATATCGACTGCTCATCGATATCGTTAAG